TCCGGTACATTTTTATTTTCATTTTTCTGAACCAGTAATTAGCTATTATTAAATAGTATACAACACCATGTCTATTACAGATCATGATTTTTCTCGACTAAATCTACTAACTCTTGAGCTTACAACAGATGTCTCAAGTTTGACCTTTTACCAGCATTTAAGGTATTAAATGGCATTGTTATCTGAAGTGAAATTTGAGCTTCGTTCAGATNAGTAATAAAAATGAAATAAAAATGTGTTTTCCAATATATTCCTAGTTCAGTTAGTCATTTTTTAACAAATGTATAAAATCCACAGTTTAATAATGAACTATTGTGAACATGAAAATGCATAATGCTCCCTACTTGAAGAAATAGGATGTGTTTCAACATCGACATCGAATTTCTTTTTTTATCGACTTTTAAAGTTGCATCAACTCGAAAGTCATCAACAATTATACAGTTACAATAATTTACGGTTATTTACACATAATTTATAGTAATTTGATATTAGATTTGGTAAAGTGTACCAATAGACTTAAGTTCCACATTACTGTTGTGTTTGCCAAGTAGAAACATCTTCCTTTTTGGAATTTTTTAGCAGAATCGATGGAATTTCTTGATTTACACAGATTACGCATTACAGGATTATCTTATTTAATTAGATAAGAGCGCGTGAATTAGAACGATTATCACAATTTCCTATATCTCGCGTCGATTCTAAATAATATTAAAAAATATGTTGTAGGTAGCTTGCGACTACAGTAATTCTCCCCAATTGTCCTTCAGCTTGTAAACGAAAATGGACAATTTGGGAAGAGGGGATACGATTATTCGAGCCTTGTCCAATCAGCCTATTTTTGTTTACAAACTGAAGAACAATTGGAGAGAATTTACTGTACCAATGAAAGGTACATATTCGCCTAACATCGGAGAATCTGTATCAAATTCGAAGAGATCAGGAATTTCCATGCTGCGGAATTCCACATGTTTGTTTCGGTTCGCGGAAATCGGTGTCCCCAATCGGATTTGAAAAGTGTGGAATGATGTATCAGCGAACGAAATCTCCGGTTTTTCCCAATCTGTCACCGGAAATTTGTCCGACAGAAGATTTTCGGCTGACTTCGGCCGATGTGCAAGCGTTACGGGATGAAAAAACACGTCACGTGTCTCCGTGATCCTGTTTGAAACAGAAGAGAGAGTGAGAAAGAAACGGAGAGAGAGAAAGTAAGCGAGAGAGACTGAGAGAGAGAGAGAGAGAGAGAGAGAGAGAGGATATATGATCCTGGGAAGAGAGATGTCAAATATCCACACAGTATAGGCAAGAAAATATAAAACTAGAAACACATCGAATTCCGGTACATTTTTATTTTCATTTTTCTGAACCAGTAATTAGCTATTATTAAATAGTATACAACACCATGTCTATTACAGATCATGATTTTTCTCGACTAAATCTACTAACTCTTGAGCTTACAACAGATGTCTCAAGTTTGACCTTTTACCAGCATTTAAGGTATTAAATGGCATTGTTATCTGAAGTGAAATTTGAGCTTCGTTCAGATTAAATACACCGGTGTCATCTACTCGAAATGCTATCTCTCCGCGAGATTCACCGGACACTTTTCATCAATCGTATTATATCACATTGAAACAAATGTTCATCAATCGTATTATATAACATTGAAACAAATATTATAAATCGATCGACTTATGTATTCTGTCCTGAAACTACTTTCAAACGAAACGTCTCTAACACTATTTCTACCGATACTTTATATCATAAAAATCCCCCGAAATTACATAGAAAATAATATCTATTAAAAATTATTAAAAGATGTTCTTTAATCGCTCTGGTAAAAATGATGTTAAATTATTAGGTGTCTTTCGACACTTTCGATAGAGATAGGATTAATGTCCTAACAAACTGCATTGATTAGTAATGAACCATTGCGTGGTAAACGATGTTTATCCATAAATAAATGAATAAATTAAATCAAACAATTTCGACAGCTGTCGATGAATCGTGGTAGCGATGGTAAAGGGGTGGTAAAAAATCGAGATTACAGCATCGCTGTCATGCGATAGAACGGTGAATGGCACACGTCATGTGATTAACGGACTAACTGACGAGCACTTTGCCTAATCCTAGGATTATCTAGTTTAATACCCTAGCGGTATCAGAGCACGGTAGAGATTAAGCTGACCGAACTCTCCGCTGATCAGCTCTTTTTTACGTTCGCATAAATCGATATCAATAACGTCGCTGACGATCTGGGTTAAACGACTTTTGCTGTTTGATTTAATTGAATGCAAAGTATGTGTCTCTCGGTGCGTGCGTGTGTGCGTGCGTGTGTGCGTGCGTGCGTGGATGCGTGCAACGCGTCGTTTGACAAATGGAGCGCCTTTGCAAAAAGAGAATAGCGCTAATACCGAATTCAATGAAAGAAATGACGACGAAGGAACCGTACGTTGCAAGTATTATGTAGTTTAAAACGATGATCGTTATTGCAATCTATGCACCGGAAACCGGAACTGATACGGGACGTCACCATATATATAATCAACCTGTTATTCCACGCGATCCGTTACGCGTCTATTAAAGTCAGTGAAAACGTCTGGCTAAACGGTTTTTTTAATTCTTTAGTGCCTGTATCCATTAGCAACGGCCAATGATTTTGAGCTTACGATTGCTATGAATCTGCGATAATTAAATAAAGATTTAAGAAAGATGAATACGTACATCGTTTATGTTCTTGGATCAATGAGATTTGTTGTAACTCTAAATTATCTTAATAATTAATCCGGTCGCTAAACATTTACGTACGTTAGTAAACAATAGCTTTCCTTGTTTCTAACAATGAGAAAAATGTGAGTTACGCCACTACGATTCCAACCCAGTCAATTATTTAAACGATTCAAAATCCGACGAAGCTGTTTCGAGGATTCAAAATCGCCTCCCATGGCTTAAATATGTTACGAAGGCTACCAATAAAACCACGTTTTTTACTAATTGCCGTAAAATGACCTCTGACGCGCAAGTGCATATGAACACTCGATGCACCGTGGCTCACCATGTAAACCCAGTTATGTTCGAAGCGTAAACAAAATCTAAAAGTAACGGTTGTCTCTAAAATTTCTGTAAAAAATGTCGGTAACAAAAGCTTGTTTAGTATTTAATGCTCTAATTGACACATATTCGTATAACGATAATTTAGAAGAGTGAGAAGACTGTGTATATATGATTTGAACAATATCAATATATTACTTCAAACTTAACTGAATTGATTGATAAAGAAAAATTGTACATTTACTTTTAAATATACATTCTATTCCGATTGTTGGTAATAATTATGATAGTTGATTAGATATGTTTAAATATTGATAATGTTATAAGAAAGTACATCACGGTATTTGGAACAGTTAGAAAAATCATTCTACATACTAATCATTCATATTCATATTACGGTTAATGCAGACAAAATTGTTACATTTAAAAATATTGAATTTTTCTACTCCAAGATTGAAGATGACAAAAACAACATTCAAATTCATGTTTAGATCATCTAAATTTACAAGATGATAGCATATTGATCCAATCTCATTTCAAACGTGTCTATCAATATCATAAAATACCAGAACAATACATTTATCGATTACAGCAATTACTTTTGCAACCTTATACCGCTCAATGATCTGATCAGCGACCAAACCGATTATCCCGTTTCATAAAAAAATTGCGTCGCCTACAACGCCTTAGGTAACGCGTCGACAATGCTCCGTCTAAAGCTTCGTCTTCCGGGAACACATCTTAAGCATCAGTCGCAGCGCTACAATGCGTTTCGTATCGTCACAAACGATGCAGATATCAACCCTCTTAGTGCCGACAAAAAGAATCGTGTGTACCTGAGCGAAATATATCAAATCTGTTTAGTACGGTTTGCCAAAGTTCCGGAAAGAAATAATAACAATTTCGTAAAACCAGACAATCAGAAAATTCCAAAAGAAAATAAGAAATAAACTATTATTTATCAAAATATTAAGCAAAGTTTTGTCAGCAACGATACATCGTTGTTCGCCACTAAAATGATTAAGATAGCTACCCAAAGGTGCACCAATCGATATAAGTAATTGGTGTACGACAATACAATCTCCAAAAAATACTCGTCACCCCAGAACGTTCCCCTCTCTACTTTGTTAGCAACAATCTCGCGTCTCGGTAAGAAAATAAAATCTGTCCGTCATAAGAAGACTCGGAGAGTAGCAGGTCGATCGAAATCTCCGCGCGATATCTGCTCGTCGGCCCCTGGCCCCGGTGTCCACGGCTCGTGGGTGCGCTCGGTGTGTTGCAGGTGCACAGGTGCAAAGGTGTGTGTGCATCTTATCGTTAGACACACCCCTGGCGCGGAAGCCGTGCGGCTATGCGGCGGGGTAGGGGCCGAGGGATACCGGAAAACTAGCTCGGCGAACAGAAGTGGGAGTCGAATCGCGGAGAGAGACCGGCTAAGACGAATGGAAGCAAAGACAGAGCGGCGGAGAGAGAGAGAGAGAGAGAGAGAGAGGGAGGGAGGGAGGGAGGGAGGGAGAGCGAGAGAGAAAGAGAGATAACGGTGAAGAGAAAGAAAGAGATGGAGTCAGACGCAGCGAGCGGGAAAGAGAGGAGAGGAGAGATAGGGGTAAGCGAGAGCGTCGCGGATGAAGGGGATGGATGGACCGGTGGAAAGAGGGAAGGAGGAATCGCGGTGGGAAAACAAAGAGGATGGGCGGCAACAGAGGGAAATTCGAAGGAAAACACGGGAGAGAAAATAGTGGAAGCAACGGTGGAGGATTGGGCGGCAAAGGACCAAGTGGATGAGTAAGAAAGAGAGCCGCTACAGAGGAGGAGACGATCAAAGAGGACGTGGGAGAGGGGGTGGGGCAGAGGGACGAGGAGGATCGAGCCGAACGAGGGAAAGGGAAGAGGAGCTGCACGGATGACGGAGGCAGTTCTGAAGGGTTTGAGGGTGAACCATCCGAGTGAGGACCAGGATAGTCTTCCGCTGTGGGCGATGGTGGCCGCCGCCTGATGGTGGTGGGGTGACACCGACGGCGGGTAGGGCGTCGCAGGGGCAGAACCAGCGCCGCGACGCCTCGGCATGCACAGTCGCGGCTCGAACGCCGTCCCATACGAACGTGTCGTCCTCGCGGCTCGTGCATCCAACTTGACAACGTGTACTACGATGTCTCCGGTCTGAGAGATCAGCGACCAGAACCAGACCGGGACGGAGAGTAGCATTACCTGGCACAACGGGATCATCGCTCCCGGAGGATGATCGTGGATTACGACAGATTGACATGAGACTGGCGGGACCGTCGACGGAGACAGTGCTCGTCGATCGAGGCTGAGAGAAAGAAAGAGAGAGAGAGATAGATAGAGAGAGACATAGAAAGAGAGATTGACAGTTGTGGCATCGATAGACAGTGGCAGGATGACGCCACCAGACTTTTTCGCGGCGAACGAGATTTGACGGACCTCCGGGATCACGTCGAGGACCGCGTTAGAGAGATCGCAGCAACCACTTGTTAGCGCGTGCATCGCGGTGTCCTTTCGTAGCCGCGCTACTTTTCTGTGGAGCTATAACGTCCGCCGGCAGTGTGTTCTTGGTGGCTGACATTCCCGAGGCCGCGTGAAACGTCAAAACCGTCAAAGTCGTCGTCGGATCGGAGGCCAACGGAATCAGTTGTTTCGTATGTTCTGCGGGAAAGTCGAGCTCTGCGCTGGAGAGTCCTCCTCTCCGAGTCGAGTTCCGAGATCAACATCGGCTCCCGAGACACGTGCGTGCAAAGCCGATCTTCCTAGTAAGTGTGCGCCGCCGACTTATCGATCCGGCGATCTAATCGATTCCCTGAGTCAATGATACGCTCCCGCTACCGAGATTATTGCTCGTTAATGACGGCCTGCGTCGCGTCGGAACGAATCCGAACACGTAACGTAAACGTCGCCGGTATGTCGGAACTATGAGAATTGTCGAGTCGGAAGTGCATGTTCTGCATGATCTATTAGCTACACGATCGCGAGTCACGAATAAGGGTTGAGATTTTCCGTAAACGAGTCCGTTGACGATACGTATGGCTGTGCACCGCGGCTCGTGGATCGTTTGCATTCGCGGAGGAAGTGTAGTCGAATCGTAAGGAGAGTCCGTAGCACGCCGGTCCATGACGGGTAGGAACTGAGATCGAAATCGGTGAGAATCGGTTGAACCAATCGGTGATTATTGTGTGATGTTAAACATGGCGGCGACTTACGAGTCCCGGGACAATTATTAAAGAAACGCTCCACGGTGGAATGGATTTTCAGAGCGCTATGGACACGTTTGTAGAGGCATGGATGGCTGCTAACACGAAAACGGATCAAGTACAGGTAAATCACTCTTTCTTAATTACTTAACCGGATAGATCGACGGCCCTCCCGTTTTTTCTTCTCGTGCGAATCTTCTCGAGTACACGATTCGAATGCTCCGTTTACCAACCTTCTCATAACCTCCAATAGCGTCGTCGAGGAACAACCCCTAACATTACACAGCCAATTTGCTACCCTACCAATTTCACCCCTCTCGGGCACTTTCAGCTCATCGCCGAGTTAATTCCTCGATATATCAATTTGCCACTTTCTGCCGCGCCGTGGAATGCCGAAACGGTTGAACAATGCAGCTAGAAAAAGTGGCCATCGGATAATCGTTTGACAACTCGAGTCCAGCAAATCTGGTTCAGCGCGTCCAATTTTCGTTTCTCGTTCGCGGGTCCTGTGGTCACTTGATTTTTGCTTTTTTATTATCTCTATTGTTCGTTCACATTGTTCACGCAATCTTGGTATTACATGTCCTTATGAAACAATTAAATTGTAGCACTGCGTTATGTGAATAAATGGATGAGAAGGGTATTTAACACCGAACCTGCTGAGTCGGTCGAAGTGACCGGTTTCACACTCGTTGTTTTAAGGTTACTGAGACTATAAAGATTCTTTCATAGAAAATGATTGAGAATAAATGTTTCAATCCAAGAAAACATTACAATACAAATGGCGAGAGATCTAAGCGAAACCAGCCTTTTTATTTTCACGAAGAAGCACGCGTTAGTTAGTTTTAGAGCTCGGTACTTTTTTTCGATTTACACAGTTTCATTCTCATCTCCGACTCGAATTAAGTTTTTTAAAATTTGAATAGGATTTCGGATATTTTTTAGCTAGCATAGAGATTTGGGATCAGATCTAGTTAAGATATCGCAAAACACACTTTCCTGTGTGTATTAGAAACTAAGATCGAGCAGAGCATAATTACCACTTTCCTTCTGAATAATTTTTCAATAAACAACTGCCAAGTAGAACTTCGCGACTTCGATACCATATTAACGTTAGAAATTAGTTACTGAAACGATAATACTGTTCCTACGAGATACATTTTGATAAGCTTCCTTCCCTACATTATCAAATTTGTATAAACTGCTGTTAAAAATTGAAGCATTGCGCGTGCCAATAAGTGTAATTTCACACGTAAAGTTACAATCAAAATAGCGACAAATTTTATTCGGATGACGGATAAAAGATAAAGACTTAACGAATACAATTTTATTCGTCGCTGTCGAATAAATATGCGATCGAATAAAAATTTATCTAGGTAAAAATGTACCGAATAAGATCTTATTCGAATAAGAATTCATTCGAATAAAATTCGATTCGAATAACAATTTATCCGTATAGAAATTCACACGAAAAACGCAGTCAACAATTAGTCGAATAATTTTACACGATCTCTGTTCGAACAATTGATTCGAATAAAGAATTATCCAAATAATTTATTAGAATAAATAGTTAGAACAATTTACGACGAATGACGAACAATTGTCGTTCGAATAAAATATTCGACTAGAAAGTGTTTATTCGGATAATTTTTCGGATTAATTATCTTAGAGAAACAATCCGAATAATGCGAAATTCTGGTTGTCATCAATCATGTAGAATGTAAATTCTCTACGTTAGAAAAATTATTTAACATTCAGTGTTAAAATAGCTTAGAGTCTAAAGGATTAAAAGGTCGCGTGTATCGAACGGAAGATGTCGGTGAAAAAAAAAATATGATACAATCGAGACCAAGGGGTTACGGCAAAAGCGACTCGACAGAAAGAGTCGAGCCTGCGTGTGCAGAGGTACGCGTATGTGTCCGTGGTTCGAAAATTTCCGAGAGGTAACCGGAGCGTTAGCAAAGAGAGGGTTGGGAGATAATCCTTGGTAAAATCGCGGATCGTACGTGTTGCGTGGACGTGCATACGTACCTTTACACGTGTACGTACGGGGGGTCACGGGTTCTGACCACGATACGGATGTGCCCCTGCCTTCTTCCTGTGCCTGCGACCACGTTCACGTTCTGGCATTCAGTGCAATAAGACCGCATCTCCATTGACCAGTCGATCTTTTGATCGTTGGAAATTTCTGATTTTCATTTACGCCCTGTACATTCCTGCGTTTCTTGGAATAATCCCCGGCGTCGACCATAATCTCCTCGCATCGCCAACAGTCGCGGCGGCTTGCCACAGTTTACGTACCGAAAAGTATGGGAATTATTAATATCAATACGTTCGCTCTGCGGGTGAAAGTTCAAACAATTTTATGCGCTAGAGGCTGCACAATTTTTTTCATTTCCTGGGGAACAATTTGTCGACGTTTCACTTGAAACATAGCCGATGGAATTGACACTAGAACTACCGAGGCCTGAACGCAGCTCCTGTATTATTGTCATATAGCAATGGATTGGGCTCGAATGATTTGTTATAGAAATATTTTTATAGTTTCGGTAACCGTAGAAAATCAATCATTTTAATCGGTTTGGTAATTCTAGCGTTAAAGTGTGTGCGAGAGAAATGATTGTATATAATCTGAGAATCTTGTGTTGCAACGATTTTTGTGTGGAAGGTTAAATTTAATAAGTTAATTCGAGTAATAAGTAAACCGTGGAATTTATTGTAATAATATAATAACAGTTACAGAGTTTAAAAGAGATTATTAGAGTTCAAACATTGCATTGATTTTATTCGAATCATTAAAGAAAGAGATTATTAAAGAAAATCTTTATTTTTCATAAAGATTGAAGAAGCGATTTTCAAAAATATATGTAGTCTCGATTATGTGAACATTGAAAATAAAGAAAACATTCGATTGAACCTTCCTTGAACATTTATTACGCATTGCCCTGCTGAAATAAACAATTTCGTTCAACGCTGTACGTTAACAATTAAAGAAAAAAAGACGTTTGGAGAGAGACCTTTAAATGAATTTAACATTTCTGGAATAATATGTGATAATTTATTTCATATTATCAGATATTAAAATTGACAAATTAAAATGTTGAATGATTAGCATACTTCACAGGTTCCGTTGCATGATTATCACGTATACGACTACCTCAATTTGTAAGATTGCATTAATTAAAATAGGAAATGAAACCAGCTGGAGGCATATTTTTTCAGATCCCTATCTGCGGTTCGCATACGTTCGCATTCGAGAAAACCCATGCGAATCTTTCGAAAGACCGATTTCAAGCGTCATTTATAATATTATTCGCTTCCATGAGATTTCGTTTTCTTTCGAACCGTTCGTTTTACGTGAAAAACGTGAATAAAACAAATACGAGGTCATCATACTGGCAGGATTTGGTGGCTTTGTATAGTGTTTACCGAACGTTCGGCTCGACCCTTCTCCCTCCTACGATTTAGCCACGATATAGTAACAGGCGTTTGACTTCCGCTCCTAAAAATGGAGGGGAAAATTCTGAGAAGGCGATATATACGTATAATACTGCGGGTCTAGTTTTCCTGTGTAAATAGATTAAAATTTCTCCCTTAACCGTTACAGTACCAGGAAGGTGAAAATGAATAATTGATTACGTACCCTGGCGTGCAAACGTTGTATCGCTGTTTATGCTATTGCGAACAATGCTTTGGTGCATCGCCAAATTTCATGAGAAACGAATTAAATGTGCCGTAAAAATTTTCAACAAATTATTGCAAGAGGACATCGCTGTTATAAAGAAAGCTAATAATAAAGAGGAGGTGATTCAATATATTATTTTCAATTATGGCTTCAATTCTAGTTTCAGTTCTAGTGTCAATTATTATAATCTTAGCAACAATAATCTCTATAAATTTAAAACACATAGAAGTTCATTTCTTTAAATGATTATTTCGAGTACTTCAATTGGAAAGAAAAACGTGATTGTAAAAACGATACTTAAATTAGGTTTGTATTTCGTTCGATAATTTAAATAAATTCCAATTAATTTAATGAGATTTTTACATTCTTCTGACGTTTCAACTGTTTCGTATTTTACTTATTCATTTTTTGCCATAAGTGCATAAAATCTGCAGTCTAGTATAAAGCTTTAGTAACAGTATAACTAGATATTTAAATTCAATAGACTTATTATTACCTTGTAAACGAATATGAAAATTTTTACGTATTGCCATTATTCGAATGTGTTGGAAATCGACGTCTTTAAATTGTTCAAACTTTTCATTATTTCAAGATCTGCCTAGTCACTTTTCGTTTACATAAATGCACCAAATCCGCAGTCTACTCATTTACTGATTATTCTAATGTTTAGTTTAAGGTTCGTTAGAAATGCAATGTTTACACATTATGCGTGTATTTTCATAAAATTCTTTATGTTTAGTATGTACAAATATACATACCTGAATTAATTAGCGAGAACGATCTGGCCCATGATTTAAACAGTAAACCGCGTGTGATCTAGAAATTTCGGACAAACGATGAGTAAAACCATTCTCTCTCCATCTTCATAGTTTGTCGAGAAATTCATCAGGTAAATAAATAACACCGTAGAACTAGTCGAAAAACGATAAAACATTATCGGCAACGTCGAAATTGTCTTCGCAGGAAGAACATTTGCAACAGTTTAATGCGGGCTTTCATGGATTTAGTAGACGTTAATAATTAATATATTTTACGATTCACAAGAAAATCACCGTTTATTTCCCCGAACACGGTGTTGATTACCATAATTGAAATTCCGTATCGGCTCTGGCGGCGTCAAAGAGAACCGTGTGGTTAAAAAGTACGCACCGCCGCTGGTCCTTAACGAACAGTAATAAAAATTATACAGAAATGAAATCCAATTATACTTTCAAGACCTCGGGACCCGCGTATTCGTTAATTAAGGGGTCCGTTTAATCTCGCTGCGAGAAACGGTACATAGAGCAGAGCGTTTAAAGGACACCGTGTATATGCGGCCGAGCGTCTTTCTAATCGACACGGTCTACCTAACGAGCCGGTGGACATCGAGATAAGAGAAACACATTTCTGCTGTTCCAAAATTCCATCGGGCAGAAAAGTCTACTCTATGGTCTGCCATG